CCACCTCCACCACCGGCACCACCTCCATCGCCACCACCACCACCTCCGCCACCACGTCCTCGCTGACAGCGACGGCGGCTACGACGACTACCACGTCGACGACGCTTAGACCGGCGTTCCGAGGCTCAACGACCTCCTCGTCTGCGCGAGTGTCGCCGCAGCCGCCACCCTTGACGCCGCCCCAGTATCCTGCGCCCCCACGGCCCCCTAGTCGAAACGGTGAGTCCACTTTTCCTCTTTATCTATCTTTTTCCGTTGGTCAAACCGAACTTCCGTCCGTTCGGTTTACGTTTGACTTGCGAACATCACTCCAGATTAGTCGAGACTAGGGATTAGCGGTTGACTTCGATTCCTGAGCAGGTTTGTCGTTGGTAGTCGTCGGTAGCGCTCGGATCTACCTCTAACTCGAGACCTGTCGCCTTACTGCTTTCCGCGCCGAGCAATGGCTGCATAGTTGGCCGATCGTTTCGAGGAACCGAGACGCTAGAGGCGTCCCGGCCAGCCTGAAACGCGGGCGACACGGCTTTCGTCTCGCCGCGTTATTTCCGAATAGGATCGCCGCCACGCGAGTACACTGGAAGTCCATTTATCCGAAGGAAATGCTTCCGGATGCTCGGGACGCCTCGGACTCGCGCGGCCGAGCTCTTATCGGAACCACTGCCAAGTGGCACTCCACTTACGCGAACACAGCGACTCTTTATGTACGATCGGGCTGAACACCGAGAGCCCGGTCTCATTCATAAAGGCTAGAGTCCAGCTGTGTATACACGCTGCGACGGATGTCGACGAGTCGCTGGCGAATGCTCCGCGACTCGGGAAGCGTGTCTAAACTTCACGAATTTGACGAGTCCTCGGCGCGAACACCTTCGGGTGCCGCTCGTCGAACGAGTTCTTCGTTAACCCCCTGGTCTATCGTTGGTCCATCGACTGCGGTCGAATTTGTTAAACTCGAGATCTGTTTCTCGTTATTGGAACGATTAAATGATTGGTTAGCAGCTTTCGAGTTTAGACAGCGAAGGGTTAAAAGTTAAACCGTAGAGTCGTCCTCGACGGACACACGATCCCGCAGTTGGTCCCTTGGCGTCACGGGACACGTGTCCCGGTGTGTACACAGCTTTACGCAGCGGCCAATTATTACTCGAGCGAGAGGATTCCGAGTAAATAGGAAATGCTCGGCAGCCGCGGGCTCGGGGGGGAGGAATGGGAGAGGAGGGAGAAAGAGAGGCGACCGTTTCCTACCGGTCTTCCAGTTTCTCGTGAATCGATGTGCTCGTAGCTGCTTCCGGTTTCTCCCCATTGTCTCGACTGGAATCTAATACGCGTGCAGACCGGTCGAGGGCAAACGCGTACAAAAGGTTTCACGGCTTCGAGGGTTACACGGTACACGGGACACCGAAGGCGGAGGCTGGTCCCGTGCGTTCTCCGCTCGTTTCGGGAACGCTGACCGGGGACGGGCTCGCCGCCGCTCCAAAATTACCTAAACTTCGCGTCGTAACCCTAAACAAGAGACTCCGTCGCTCCGCTTCCTCTAAACTCGTCGGATTCCTTTTCAAGAATGCGAAAAGCACCGTCGTCCTCTAACGGAGACTCCGAGCATCTGATTCTCGTAATTTTCTAGAGCGGCGAGCAGATGTTCCTCGATTTACTCGTCGGAATAGACAGAATATTTTCAGCGAGAAACCGTGGAGCGCGAAAGATTAATCGTTGCGCGATTAGGACGGTAGACGGAAGTTGAGATTCCGAATCGTTTCTGGCCGCGAGCGAACGCGGTCGTTGTGGACGGGGCCGCGATCGAGGATCCACGGAGCGTGACTCGTCGCGCGGATTGAGTCACACTACGCTTTCATAGAGGCGAAGCCACGGCACACCGCGAGCAGCAGCACCGGGCTCGGGAGAAGTAGTGAATGAAATTTACCGGTGTAGAAAGTTGCGCGAGAAAGTCGCCCCCGGCCGCCACCTTTCCGCTCGTGACGCCGACACGTCGAGCGTAGCCGCGTTTCTTTCCACCGACGATCCTCGCCGCTCTCCTCCGGCGCGGCCGGCAAAAGGGAATGGCGACCTCGTAGGCGGGCCCGTCCATAGTTTCGCGGAAAGTATTCGCCTGTTCCGACCGCCGCTTATGAATGCGCCTGGGCGTGAATGGTATTCCAGGGAGCAGCGTGTCGAAACGCGGCGACGACCACGTTACACGCGCAAATGCTAATAACGATTTATTTTGTAAAACGGTATTTTTAAAGGGATCTCGCGCTGCTTCTCAGGTCCGTCTCTTAACTCCATGGCTAAACCCACTCGTGGAGGAACGAAACTTCGCGAAGTCTACCTTTCTATCTTTCGCCGATCGATCATCGACCGGTTATCCCAGGATCCAGTGACCTCTCGCGAGCTAGTGACCTTTGAACGACGTTTCCCTGACTTTTCGATCCGCGGACCGACGACAGTTTCACGAACGAGTGTTCCGTAGAAACTAGGATAAATGCTGGGTCGCTTAGAATTCTAAAAGCGACAGGCGCGTGAACGCGGTTTCGCAGTCTATTCATAAGTCCGTTAAATGTCAGAATGATCGCGGTTGCGAGAGGACCGAACCCTGAAGCACCTGGGACGCGATGAATTTTCCGAGATCGAGCGGTGCTCGAAAATTTCCATACGGCGATCGAGTCGGTCCCATCGCTAGTCTCCTCTCTCTCTCTTGGAACGGAGTACGAGGCTCGTACGAGCGCATGCGCACGCGCGCACTCGAACGCTCACCACCACAGACGAAGTCATTCGCTTCGAACGGCAATAGGAATGAATGCCAATCGGTTTGACGTACCTGGAGACTTTGTTGCGCATGCGCTCGCCTCCCTCTCTCTTTCCTCTGGTCGCTCTTTCTCTCTCTTTCTCTCTCCCTCTCTCTCTCCCTTTCGTGGTCGCGTAAGAACGTAGCCGGCCGATTTACTGATCGCTCGAGGGGAATCGGTGACTCGCGACCTCGTCGAGCAGTCGCTTTCCACGAAATTCGACGAGCTCGCGCCCGCTGACGCTTTACCCCGAATCGATGAATCGAGAGAGACCTCCGCCGCGATATTATCTCGGGAAACTCTTACTCAGAGTACCGGGAATCGAGATTCCGAGCCGTAACTTGGATATCCGATCGTCGATTAGATATAGCCGGCGATATCTGGGTAATCTTAACTCGTGAACGCGCGCTCGCGAATGAAAGGGACTTCGAAGCGTAGGTTCAGGCTTGCGAGCGCGGGTTGTTCATTTCGACTCGAGATTCTACCTCGGGAACGACGATCGAATGTTGATCGCGGGACGCCTTCGCCGACTGTTAATCACCTTTCACTGGAATCAGCTCGATCGCGATTGTAGATCGGTAATGGCGGTAACCGTGGATCGTTGATTCTACGCAACTCTGAGTTCGGTCTAGCGATAATTCAAAGTTCTGTTTCGGTTCGATTGGAAGGCCTAAGATTCTACTTGGAGAACGAACATTGAATGTTGATCGCGAGACGCCTTCAGCGACTGTTAATCACCTTTCACTGGAATTAGCACGGTTCGCGATAGCCGATCGGTAACCGTAGTAACCGTGCATCACCGGTCTTAATCCGCGCAACTCCGGGTTCCGTCTGGCGACAGTTCGATTCGATTCTGGGATTCAATGATCCTTTTGCGCGGTTGAATCTGTCGGCTACTTTTCCATCTGTCGCTCGTGGAAAATGTAATGGCCGTGCAACGCGCGGTGGCACTCGAGCCGAGATATCGACACGGGCGCGCTCGCTGGCTCGCTCGCTCGCTCGTATCGTGACACAGATACACGCACGCGAGTCAGGGTCGGTCTGGCATGAATGAAGCCATGATTTCCACGCATGGCGCATAGGTAGGTGAGTCGAACGACTCGCAGATCCGCGAGATCGACGCGCGGCCAGTTGCTGCTTGCTCGCGTTCCCGATCTTCTGTTCCGCAGTTTCGTCGAGGGCCGGAGAAACCGAGATCCCGAAGCGCGGCCACTCGCGAGAAACTATTATTTTTGCTTGCATAAATCGCGCGTAACGTTGCAGTGCCGGTGTTGGGCAAAAATAGGAAAGACAAAGAAATTTGAGTCGGTATAATTGGCACGGCCGATCGGGAAAGAATTTCGCGCACCGTTTTTCCCGGTGAATTTTTGTGAAACGATAGCATGATGCAACCTGAATTCTTTAATACCTTGCAGTAGGTATACATTAAAGGATACGTTCAATGAGGTAGCAACGAATGTAGATCGGGCGGATACGGTATACTCGCGCACGAAGTTACGAGGGAAAAATTCAGCGCGGGTACACCTGTTTTAGTCGGCTTACGTGGACGCTACGTGATCCAACGAGTGAGTCACCGCATACGTCTCGGTCAGTCCGCGATTCTCGAAGTTCGATTCCGGATGAATGAGGATCCCATTGACGATCCAGCGATATAACGCTGGAAGCACGGCGGAGTCGGATCGCGTTCGAGAGATTAGATCTAACGGCACCGCTAGATACGGGGCGCGTTTTTCATTCGCTTTTTAATAGTTGAAGCAATCGATCGATAGGCGATTTCGCTATCTGCGCTCGACGGAGCCTTGAAATCGGCGATATCGAAAGCCGTTCGGTTCGATTGCATCTGGATTGATCAATAATCGATAAGTTTCTCATTCAGCGGGTCTATACAGTGCGGCTGTCAATGAAGACTGGCATCGTTATCACCTGTTGTATTCGTGAACCGTGTATGTACCAGCGTCGCGGTGCGGTTTCGCAAACACTCGAGAACGATCGAAGCGCGTATCGATCCTCGTCGTCCGATGTTGCTTTCTCGGGTTGCCTTTCGTCGCTTCCAGTGTCGTTAACGAACGGGTGATGCAATTCTCATCCGATACTCGGGGATCGATCGGTGTCTCGTGAATTTCGTCGGAGATCTGCTCGTTCGATCGCGACTCGATCGCGGAAGCGCCGGTCAATGGATCAGCTCCGAATTCTGTTCGTGGATAGACGGTAAGTCGAATTAACGCACGAACCATCGAGTATCCTAACTTTCAGTGATCGTCTTACGCGACAAACGTATTCGTTTGGTTCGAAAGGTTCGAAGAACGTTGGGCAACTAGATGAAAGATTAACGCGCTAACCGAGAAACGCTTACCGTTGTTTGGCAATAATTGTTTAGCAAGAATATCGGCTAACGATCCGTATGATTCGCTTTCGAATTTTCCGTAGCATAGAACTGCGGCG